TGCCGAATGGCTTGACTGATCGGTCGTGCTTGAAGATTTGCTCTGCCAGCTTGCTGTACACGGCTATGCATTGCTTGCAGTCGAGCCGCAATCGCGAAAGCATGATGGCTATGATGCCGCCCGTCGATGTACCGCCAATGAGGTCGAAATAGTCACATGGCTTGAGCGGCTCATGGTTGTTCATTGCCCTTCGTCCCAGCCTCTTCTCTTCCCGAGCAATATTCTCCATCAGCCTCTCGAGGACCAACAGTGACGATAGCCCACGCACACCGCCTCCATCCAGCGACAGCAACCGCAGCGGGGCGTTTGGGTTCCTCTCTGGGTTGGAGAGCTCCATATCAGGCTTTCCCCGGCGGGCCGATGATTTGGTGTTGTGTTTGGTGCTTGATTGCGTGGTGGAGTAGCTCAGCTGACTTCAAGTTGGTGTGGGTAATGTAATCATGCAATGAAGATCCCACCGCCTGTTCATATACCTTTACTCGTCACAAGGTCCTGTCAAGTAGTCAAGTGGCGATGCGATGTGAGTCAGGTGTTCAAGTCCTCTATTAGTGTTGCCTGCAAGGCTCCTCCAGGACGCCGTCGCACACGCAGCGTCGGGACCAGCATGTTCCTATAAGTCCTCTGCTACACGGCCTCCCCACAAATTTGCTGTGCTTGGGTGGATCTGCATTGGATGCTCAAGGCTCTCGGGGGCCAACTTAGGCGCCCGCTTGACTCGAGGGAGGCCGCCCTAGTACCGAAGTGGCAATGCGCTGCGCCACGACGGAAGTGCGGCGCAGAGGCAGCGAGGACACACGAGTAATGTCCGGTGTGCGCTGCCGCCTTTTTGTCGGCTTCAGTGGGCGACTGCAAAGGACAACATGTGCATCTGCAGCGGTAAAGATCAACAAAAAAAAGGCAACTACAGCTGTAAAAAGGGTCAGTAGTGGGCGGCCAATCACGGGCGTTGCTCGATTCAGCTGTGCCTCGACAAGATCGTGTGTGGCTGCCGCGGTCAGCAAGACGAGCGGGGTGCTGATGTAAGTGGTGCATATGTAAAGGGCCCAGCTGAGGCTCTGCGGTGCGTCTGCGCGCTGATGTATTGCTTGGGAACGTCGGTCAAAGTGCTCGAAACGAAACAGGGCTGCCACCGGCCCTGTCTTCTATTAGATTACATGCGTACTATGCATTCAAACCCTGCGACTATGCAAACCAGGTGCGCAAAACCATCATGCTAAATATTCAAACCCTGGGTATTATAATCGAATGTCCAAAACGCCGTACGTCCCTCTCATGCCAAGTCATTGATCATCGTAAGTCATAATTCGTTTTCGTAAAGGTCGCTCTGCAGACTGTATGCCGCAAGTCATTATCTGCCGACGGGTCAGTCGTGGGTTACACAGGGTGACACCAGGACGCTTACATGCATATTCGGGCTCGGCATGCTAGGGGTCTGGCGTGCGATGCTGACCCCGACGGCAACAGTATAGCGGAGCGTCTAGTTGAGCTGACCAGATGGTGTGTCGTGATAGGCGTTCAATTTGTAAGGGCTGTGAAGCCTGTCCAATCCATGTAGGCGGATGTTCGTTGATCGTATATGCGTTCCAGGCATGCGTCCGACTCTTTTGCTCGAAGCGTCCTCAAGGTGTCGTACTTGGGGCTATCCTTGCGCCTCAGCTTCTGCCTGGGGATGTAAACTGGCGAGGGTGACGTGGCAATGGTCCAGTAGGCTGGCGTAAAGTAGCACATTGGCGAGCGTGCACGGTTTGCAGGGGAGCTGGGTGGTGATGTTGCAGGTGTTGAAGGCGTTGATGGTGCTGATGCGGAGAAACTAGCAGAGTCTGAGAAGAGAGATGGGGTGGGCGATGAGGTCACAGAGCTGGCGTGCGAAGTGACTGGTGATAGGACCATGGGCGATGCGGGCTGGAAAGGAGCAGCGTGGGTGGGTGGTCCAGGTCGGCGAACGCTTCCTTTTCCCGAGAGAGGGGACGGTCTTTTCGGGGTGGTGGCCATGACGGATGAAGCCCTCATTGGCGTCATCTTGAGTGGAATTGCCTTGGAGGGGGCGGCCATGAGTGGAGTGGTCTTGGGGGTGATTGCTTTGGATGGGGCGGCCTTGGATGGAGTTGATTTGGAGGGGGTTGGTTTGGATGGGTTTGGTTTGGAGGGAGTTGGTTTGGATGGAGTCGCTTTGGATGGAGTCGCTGTAGATGGAGTCGGCTTTGGTGGGGTAGGGTTGGCGGCAGGTATCGGTGGGGCGGGGCGGGTCGGGGGAGGAAGAAAGGGCGAGATTTTTGGTGTCACCGCCACCTTTGGTGCGTCCGTCTTGGATGGAGTCGGGCGTGTGTCGCTCAGGGTCAACGTGTCCATCTGGGGTTGCAGGTCGTCTAGGTGGGCGTCGTGTGATGGGTGGTCCTCTGGTGACGTGAGCGGGGCTTCTACGGCCGACAAGTGGGTCGGCTCTGGTGGTTGAGCATCTTCTCTACGCGACAGTGGCGAGGGTTTCCGGTCGGCAGCAGCAGCGCGGCGGACTCGCGAGGGAAGCGTGTTTCTCCTGCTGAACAGTGGCGAGGGGCTCTTGACAATGTCGGCGGTGAACTGGAAGGGCTCGGGGGGCCGCGAGGGCCGCTGGGCGCGCGAGGGCAGCGAGTTGCTCCGGCTGAAGAGCGGCTTGGGCACCAGGTCTGTCTGGGAGCCAAACTCAAACATGGGCGGGCCGCTGAGGTCGGGCGTGGTCGTGTCCGAGGGGGTTTGGGGCAGCGACGGCTTTCTGTACTGGTAGAACTCGCGGTAGGGATGGCGGCGCGGGACGGGGGGCGTTTTGCACAGGGTCAACGTCTCGTCCATCAACACGTCGAGGTCCGCCATCTTTCTTTTCATGCTCTCCGCCCGGAGGTGCCCATGCAGGTGGTGAGTGGTCCCGGCCTCGTCGTAGCGGGGGAGCGTAGCGAAACGAAACGCGGCGGGTGGTGGATGAATAAGAGAGTATGTGTTCAGGAGCGCGCAAGCGAGACGACACGGCTTGGGCTCGGGCGGCGGCGGCGGCGTGTTGGATCTAGTGCAGCTGCAAGTCAAGTGCAAGTGCAAGGCGGAGGCGGCGCAGAGGGGAGTGGCAGTGGTAGCGTGGGAATTTTAGCAGCACCGCGGCGCCGTCACCCGCCGCTCTGCTCTCCCACTCGCTCTCAGGCGACCGCCTTGGTCGGTCAAGTCCCGGTTTACGTGCGCGGCCCACGCGAGCGGCGGCGCGACGTCATTGGCCGCCCGGCGCTGGCGCTGCAAGTTGCGGTAAGGCTCGAGGGCGCCGTCGAAGGTTTGCCAGCGTGGCTGGACCGACCAGCCCTGCATCGTGATTGAATCTGCCCCACGCCTGCAACCCTCCCGAGCACTTGTTCGGCGCTTCTTGCTCTCAGGTGAGGGCCTGCCTGCATCTGCACCCCGTTGCACCCCGCTCGGCTCTGCTCTGCTGGTGCTGCTGGTGCTGCTGGTTGAGGGCGAGGGGAAGGCCATGGTGGTGGTGGTGGTGGTGGTGATGCATGGGAGACGCCCGTCCGCTCAACCAAAGCGGACAAGACGGCAGCTAGCCACCTTCCGGCCTGCCTCCCTCGCCCCCCTCGCCCAAAGGCTGCAGTCCAAGCACAAGTCTGCAGTCCACTCTGCAGTCCCATCAGGCTTTTCCCTCCGCCAGCCGCCACCATGTCATCGCCCCAAACACACACACCACCACCACTACCACTACTGCCCGCCATGACGCCTGCCATCAACATGAGGGGCAGCCCGCCGCCTGAGGTCATCGACGCCGTCTGACCGGATCCCAGCTTGCGTACTGTTCGAGGCGAAGAAAGCGCTGCCTGACCAGGGACTGTTTCAGCCCGCGAATGACGCGCGTGACCAAGCAAAGACGGTGTAGACACTTGCAGCTTGTGTAGAGAAGAATATCATCGCCGCTGCGAAACATGCGTTCTCATTCCTGCGCGCTTGGACCCTCTCCCACACCTAAATCCATCCCATAGCTACATATACAAAGAAAGCAATGCGTCCCGGTCAAGACTCAGCTCCGTATTACAATCACGTACCCTTACCAAAAATAAACTAAAATCTATACCGCCCTTGCGCTCGCGGCTGAAGCAGGCATGCCGCCCTTGCCCCCCGGTCCCCTGTACATGCAGACATTAAAACATACACACACACACACACAAACACACACACACATACACACCCCTGGCATATCGTTGGGCAGGGCGCACAATAGGAAAACACCCTCTGGCCAAAGGGCCCTGGTCTCACGTTGATCAATCCACGTCACCAGAAAATGTTCGTCGTCGAAGAGTCGACTCGCGAATGTTGTTCAGTGGGATACCGAAATCGTCCTCGGCCCAATCATCCTCGTCATCTGACTCCCACGAGCAAGGGATCTTCTCAGCACGCCGGGCGCGGTACGCGCTCAAGCCAATGCCGTTGGAGATGCTCGTGGCAATACGCAGCATCATGGAGACCAGATGTGCTGGCGGCCCTAGCACAATCTCGCACGTCTTGCGCACAAGGGCATTGGTGAAGTCTTTGCCAGCGTGCTGCTTGGGCGGGCAGAACAAGTTTTGACTGGGCGGCATAGGCGAAAAGGCCCGCCGTTGCGAGGCGCCCGTAAGTCTCTTCATCCGAATCGCATCTGGTGGTGTGGGAATATCTAGGCTCACGCACCCAACGCTCTCGTCGTCGGAATCACTGACGAGCGGCGGCGTCGACGGCGCCGACGACGGTCGCACATCTGTCGACACAATCGTCGTGGCGTAGTACGCGCCCGTGGGCGTAAGGGGCGCAGAGGGGCCGGTTCCTTCTGTTGACGAAGCACGCACCGTGGCCTCTGAGATGTGGCGTCGGTGTGTTGAGCGCCCTCTGGGCTCCTCGTGCTCGGGGGAGAAGGTCGCCGCCCAGGGCTTCACCATGGCTGCAGCCGCATCGACAAACTTGGGCGAGGGGCTTCGTGGCGTGGCAGTCTCTAGTGAGTAGAAGCTATCGGCCGTCGAGGCCATGCTGGGTGCGTCCGAGACATGCCGCTCTAGCACTGGCTTGTCCGCATCCCCGGTTGGTTGAGCGGGCGGCGACTCGACAATGCTTTGCATAGGAGGCACCGATCCGGTTCTGATTGGCGCCGTGACTGAGCGCACGCCTTGAAAGATGCTTGCTCGCTCTGCCACGGAGAGCCGCCGCGGTAGCGCCTTGGGCGCGAGTGACGGCGAAGACGAAGACGGGTGGGGCGGTGGCAGCGTCCTGGCAAAGGGAACCTCTGGCGCTTCCGACACTGCTTCGCTGCTGTCAGTACAGATGCTCCGGCCGTCTTCGTCGTCGTACAAGGAAAGGGCACTGGTCTCGGAGCGTTCGGTACCAGAAGTTGAGGGCCGCGAGCCATGGTGCTCCGGCACCCACGTCCTGTCCAGCACCCACTTCTTGGCCTGGCCCGAGGGCTTCCTCTTGATCGTCTTCCGCGGCGGGCTCTTGGGCCGCTGCTGCTCTTCAATCTCGGAGCCCCGTCGGAAGGGGCACTTTGTGTGCTCATACAGCATCACCTGGGCCAGGACCGTCTTGAAGTCGGCAATCTTGTCGCGGTCCTCGTCCGTCTCGAAAGGCAGCTCGATGCGATAGTACGAATCCTGGCGAACGCGAAGCACGAAGACGGACTGGTTGTCGACGCACCAGCATTGCGAGCGGGGGAAGATGGTGTGCAGCAGGTTGCCGCTGTTGAGGAAGGAGACGTTGGACGCCGTCACACGATAGATGCGCAGGATACCTGGGGGGAAGCATTAGCAGTTGCAGGCAGCGGAGGCACAGAGACGGGGCAACATGCCGACGGCCAGCGTGCGCTCGGTGGGCGTCTTCCACGCTATGGGATGCCATGCGTCAGCCGAGCGCGAGGGCGAGGGGCGGCGGGCTGACGCGGGCGTGGTAAAGGAGAAGATCTTGCAGTCGGAGCACACAAAGAGCGTCTCGATGCCGTCGGCGCAGGCTGCAGACGCGGGCACCGAAGTGGTTCTCTTGGGGGCGCGGGCGGGGAGGGTGAAGCTTCTCCTGCTGCTGCTGCTGCCGCCGCCGCTGCCAGGGATGACAGTGACAGCGGATGGCGCGCCCTCGGGGGGCTGCTGGGATGACGCCGGCAGGGACATGGCAGGCAGGCCGACGGTCTATGCGGGCATTGGCGGCGGGGGAGGCTGCGATGGCGAGGGCCTCGTGGGTATGTACAAGACAGCGGCCGGCGCTTGTGAGGGAGAGTGAAAGCAGCGGAGGCGAGGATTTTGGGGGGGGTGTCGCGTGTGTCGAGGAGAGGGGATCTCAGCCGGGCTGAGTCGTGGCTGGACGGCCTTCTCTTACACGTCCCTGGCCTACTTGGACGACGGGAGCGCTATTGCTTAGGCTACGCGCCATGGCCCGGGCGAGGCATAAGTAAGTATATCCTGTGCTAGCATACACATGGCGCATCCAACACCACCGCCCTGCCGTGTCAACAGCGCCTGTTCCTCGGCCGCCGCGCAGTCCATCCGCTCTGCACTCGCTCTGCCCTCGGCTGCCACGGCCGCAGACATGGCGGCGCAAGAGCGCTGCAGCGGCGCCCATGGGGCCAAGGGCTGCCGACCGCGCCGCCGCCGGCCCCCGATTGCCGTACGTCATTGCTCCGCCAGTTCGCAGGCGTTCGCACACACTCGCCCCAGGCCGAGCCCACGCCCCAACCAAGTCGACGCACAAGTGCAGGCAGGCTTTGCTGGCCCGCCGCCCATCTCACCAGCCCACCGCGCTGCCCCTCCAAGAGCACCCGCACTCGCACCCGCACCCGCACCATGGACAAGCTCGACGTGTCCAACTTCGACCTCAATGCCATTCTGCGCGGCGCCCAGCTGACCCTGGTTGGCGGTACGTTGGCTGCCTACCCATCAGGGTGCTGGCCGTGAGCGACAGAGGCTCCTTCTGACCGCCGCACAGTCAACCGAGCCCTCCAGAACCCCCGCCTCTTCACCTCGACCCACTACCGCCAGGCTGCCGTCGCCGTCGCCGCCGGCATCGCCATCCGCATCATCGTCGCCATCCCGGTACGTCCCGCCGCCGCCTGGCCCTGTCGATAGCAACCAGCCCGGCTCACCTCCCCCAGATTGTCGGCGTGCGCGTGCTGCTATGGATCCTCTCGCTCTTCATCGACATGGACCATTCGCAGCTGGACGAGACGGTTGTGAATGGCCTCCATTTCCTCGAGCATTCGGTCCTGCAGGTCCCCTTCTTCCTCATGACGCTGATGCGCTACGTGACACCTACGCTAGATGAAATGTAAGCTCCATTTGCGTCTGCCTAGCCCTGGCTAACTCGCGTGTGCAGGTTCATGGACTCGCTGCGCTGGGTCGACGAGACGTACGTCCAGAAGCACAAGACCGACGACCCCCACAACCTCCGCGCCATGTACTACCCGAACCTCGAAATGTACCCCGACCACGCACCCAAGCCGCAAAAGGAGAAGAAGCCCTTCAAAGAGGCGGCTACAATCTACGCCACAAAGCAGGGCAGAAAGGCAGCCATTTCCTTGGGAGTCCTGGCCCTGTCGTACATGCCCTACGTCGGACGCTTCGTGCTGCCTGCTGCCAGTTTCTACACATTCAAGAAGTCGGTGGGCACTCAGCCAGCAGCCCTCATCTTTGCTACTTCGCTGCTGTTTCCCCGCAGGTATCTGGTCAGCTTCCTGCAGGCCTACTTTTCTTCCCGCACCCTCATGCGTGAGCTGGTATGCCCCATGTCCTATGCTGCATGCCCTAGTTGCTGACAGCCACCAGCTCGAGCCATACTTTAGCCGCGTCCGCTACACCAAAGAACAGAAGAAGCTCTGGTTCCGAGACCGAGCCGGTGTCCTCTTTGGCTTCGGCCTGGGCTTCTACGTCTTTGTCAAGATCCCGCTCGTTGGCGTCCTCATCTACGGCCTCGCAGAAGCCTCGACGGCATATCTCATCACCAAAATCACCGAGCCGCCTCTGCCGCCGGCCGAAGCCGAAAAGTTCAAGGAAGATTCGCTCCGGTGGAAGAACAAGCATGAGTTTCTCAGTCTGCCATTGCAGCACATGGATGAATACAACCTGTCCATGCACAAGCCCAAGGCCCAGTCGGAAGTGCGCCAGACTCCCAGGAAGACGTTTAGTTAGGTTGCGTGACCCCGCGGCCACCGTTACTCTGACCCAGCGGCCTTGAGCATGACAAACACGGCTTATTTTGTTGGAAACACGGCAGCTTGATTCAAATGTCCAACGCTATTGGAGAACAATTGCAACGGGCCGCTACCCTAACGGGTGCTGCATGACGACAATGGCATCCGTTCTGGATGTACCCCGCAGTGGGTCGACGCGTCCTGTTAAGGTAGGTAGCGGGAGAGCTCCCAAGGATCATCTGTAACGTAACAGCTTCATATCGTCGAGCTTATCATGGACCTTGTAGTAATGGTTGGTGGGTATGGGTGTCATGTCCCCGGCAATTAGATATGTCACAGATAACAATTGATATGCTGACGATCATGGCTTCCCCTCATCCGTCGACTTAAATCACGACTGGCTTCCCCTCATTTGCACCAAGCGCGTGTTCCTTTGCTCACTTTTTTTTGTCGCACTGCACTCATTGAAACCCTCGATTCTCACCATGGGTAAAGAAGGCATTCGATACGCGGCAAAGGTCGATCTGAACAAGCCTGCATCGGAGCAAGAATGTCTACATGTACGTGGATGTGCCCTAGACGGATGGATACACCGTTTAATACTCGTCTATTAGAACCGCTGGCACCCAGAGAACCCATCTTACGCGACAATCAAGCCCGGTGAAGTGGTCAAGATTGAATGCGTCGACTGGACCGGAGGCCAAATCGGCAACAATGACTCTGCCGACGACGTGCGCGACGTGGACCTGACCAAGATCCACTACCTGACGGGGCCCTTTGACATTGAGACTGCAGAGGCTGGCGATGTTCTTGTCGTCGAGATCCAAGACGTGCAGCCGCTCGACGAGCAGCCGTGGGGGTTTACGGGCATTTTTGCAAAGGAGAATGGTGGGGGGTTTCTGGATGAGATTTATCCCGAGCCGTGAGTTGAAGAAAGATTGTTTAGCGTGTGTATGATTGGGAAACTGACGGACTGTACATGTGTATAGAGCAAAAGCCATCTGGGACTTTGAAGGCATCTTCTGCAGTTCTCGCCATATCCCTGGTGTGAGATTCGCAGGCCTGATTCATCCTGGCAGTACGTTTTTCTCTCTCTCTCTCCTCCATAGTACTCAAAAAACAAACAAGCACATGAATCTAACTCGTCCCCCCAAAGTCCTCGGCTGCGCGCCCTCAGCCCAAGTCCTCGAAACGTGGAACAAGCGCGAAGCCGAACTCATCTCCACACACACCCATCTCCAACGCATCGTGGCGGAGCCCCCGCAACCCACCAACGTGCACGCAGGCTCTGCCCCCGCGCATCTCAAAGCGAAAATCGGACAGCAAGGCGCGCGCACCATCCCGGGCCGCCCCGAACACGGCGGCAACTGCGACATCAAGAACCTGTCTCGCGGCTCCAAAGTCTATCTGCCCGTGCACGTGTCGGGCGCCAAGTTCAGCGTGGGCGATTTACACTTTAGCCAGGGCGACGGCGAAATCTCCTTTTGCGGCGCAATTGAAATGGCGGGCGTGATTACGCTGAAATTCAGCGTCATGAAGGACGGCATGGCGCAGCTGGGGATCAAGAGCCCGATTTACATCCCGGGCCCTGTGGAGCCGCAGTTTGGACCAGGCAGGTATATTTATTTCGAGGGTTTTAGTGTGGATGAGGCGGGCAAACAGCATTATCTGGATGCCACGGTCGCGTATCGTCAGACGTGTTTGAGGGTGATTGAGTATTTGAGGCGGTTTGGTGAGTTTTTTCTCTTTTTCTCTTTCTCTTTCTCTTTCTCTTTCTCTTTCTCTTTCTCTTTTTTTCATTCTCTCTCTCTCTCTCTCTATCTTTCTTCCTCATACACATACTAACAACATCAACGTCAACAGGCTACAGCGACTACCAAATCTACCTCCTCCTCTCCTGCGCCCCTGTCCAGGGCCATGTCGCCGGCATCGTTGATATCCCCAATGCATGCACCACCATGGGCGTGCCAATGGACATTTTCGACTTTGACATTAGTCCCCATGTGCCGGCTCAGAAGCGCGATATGGGCGCTTGTGCTTATGTGACAAAGTAGTTTGTCTGTCTGTTGTAGTTTTGTTTAATTGATCGAGGGAGAGGGGTGGTGTTGTGTTTGATGTTAATACTGCTTTTTCCTTTCCTTCTTCTTTGGCTAGTTGTGTATGTATGTATGTATGTATGTATGTATGTATGTGTGGTCAGTGCAAGAAGAGGGTGGAGTGAGTCGGTTGTTATCAGTGAGCCATGATTGTTACATTCAAACTACGTTTGCAACGACACTTTGTGCATCACACCTTCACCTACTACACAATGCAGTGATTGTTGAGCTAAGATTACAGTTACTGTACCTGACTACACCATGGTCTACTCAACCATCCCAACAACACGTGTGCATTCAACACTGCGACCGATACTCGGGCGAAAGAAAGATACACATGCATCTTGTATAGTACAGCCGCATTTTGATTCCATGTTCCCCTCCACAATCCATGGCTAGCAAAATAAACCAGAACACGGCATGCTTCTGCTGCAATCGTGACTCAATGAACACGGCTCAGCTACCCACAGTCAACCATAACTCACCCGATCCAGATCCGAAATGTAGCTGGCATACATCGAATATTGTCAGGAGACTCGACCATGACTGTGAGTGAGCACTGCGGCGGAAGAGCACCACATCAAAACCTGGTACCGAGCGGGCCGATGTAGGGATGTCTTGATCCGATGCATGGAATAGCATAAGCTCCTCTCGGCGTAGCTGAGCAATGGGGCTACTCAGCTGTGTTGATTTAAAGTTGCGCAATCGCTTCCTGCGACACACGCTGATTTGCCGTCGGCCAATGGTACAAGGCCCATACTCACAAAGCAGACTCGTGGGCAGCAAGTAGTCGTATCCTTGGAACCGCCAGTCAGGCAAATTTGTGCGAAACAGACGTGGGTTGCTTCGTTTGCTCAGCTATGACGAGTTCAATGCCATGATCGGCGCGCCTAAAGGAGCCAAAGGAGCCACTGTAGCGATCCGCTGGGTGTTGGGGTGTAGCGTTACACAAACACAAATGTGTGGGGTGCTTGATGCTCATGCCCAATCTTCAAGCAGACTGAGCAACGAGGCGGCATAGGGGTTTCAGCCTGAAGGGTCTCGTGCTCTAGTGAAGATGCATGCGAGCAATAGGACCAGCGGTTTCCTGTGGCCATGGTGTATGGGATAGATTGCTGGACGCCATCAAGATTGGAAAGTAAGAGCGTGAACGAATCATTTGCAAAAATGGACAAGGTCCAAGAGACGTGTAAATGCAATGACTAATTCCTTGTCCGAAAAGAGAAGGAAGGCAGACGCATGATGGTAAACATGATGTATTGAACCAACTATGGTCAATGCACGGCGGTTCCCCATACCAGCGTCGTAAAGGATGCAGCTTGTAATCGAGTCGATTAGCTCTTGTATGCAAAGGCTGAGTCGAAGGTGGCATGGGATGCAGGCTGGCTGGCACCAAGAGCGGCAGCGATGCACTGACATATAGGCCGCGGGTATAGGCATGTCATGCCGGTTTCTCTACAAGACTTTGTCGGCGGCCGAGACTGAAGTTTATTAGTAGCTAGGCATGGGGGTGACGAGTCAAGACGTCTCACCGTTTAGTCCAGTATTGTCGGGCTCTACATGGGCGGCCTTGACGGTACCGTTGTCGATCACAAGGGCATATCGCTTCGAACGGTCGCCGCCAAAGATGGAGGCGCCGTCAAACGACAGATCCAGGGCTTTTGTGAAGCCAAGGCTGGGGTCTCCAAGGAAGCGAATCTGGTCGTGTCAATACCGGGTCGTCGGATAAAGGCTACGGGACGACTTACGCCGCTCTGGCCGGATGGGTCGAGGGCCTTGCCCCAAGCTTTCATACTAGGAAGGGTCAGTGCCAGGAGCCGCTAATTGACCACGAGATGTGGCGTCTGGCCGAGGGTGCAGGTGAGGTGTTTGCATGCATGAATGTGAGCAGCGTCTTGTGCATCTTGTGCTGGTGACGTACGCGCCAAACAGAACACGGCCGGCAGCGTATTGCCGAGACGGGGGGGCAGAAACCTACACAAACGGGTCGTTGACGGAAACAACAAAGACCTTGCCGGCATGCTTGAGCTTGGGGGAGTTGATGTAGCCGGGAATATGGCTCTCCGAGCAGGCGGGGGAGAAGGCAGCGGGGACGCCTGGGGGGGGAGCAGATGATGTCAGGCGCATTGCGGTTTCACAGCGGCGGGCAGCGTCGTGGGCTTACCGACGATGATGCCTTTGCCTGTCAGTTCTTTGGCGAGGTTGACCTTGTTGCCGGGCGATCCCTCAACAAGGTCGACGTCGGGGAGCTTGTCGCCGACCTTGACGAGGGCAGGGGCAGAGGCATGGAAGAGACGGTGGCGGGCTTGGGGGCGCGCCAGAGGCAGGCGGCGGGCGGCGGCCGAGAGCATGATGTGATGGGAGGCAGAGCAGAGCAGGAGCAATTGAGAGGGGCGCGAGGGCAGAGCACGTGTGTCGAGTGGTGTAGGTGGAAGAGGAGGTGGTGGTGGAGGTGGTGGAGGTGGTGAAGGTGGGGTGGGGGTGAGGGCGCGCGGGCGGCGGGCGAGGGCAGGCGCGGCCCCGTGCGCGGCTTCGTCGCCGTGGCCGGCGTGTTTTCCCCGTGCGCGTACAGGCCGGGTGGGAGAGTGTGTGAGTGCGTCGGTAGATAAACATCGTGTGCATGTATCGCAGCTATGTGGGCGGGCGTCAGTGGATGCAGCGGTGCGTGGCAGCAGCGGTGGCAGCACTCTGCGATGGCGGATGGCAAGCCGGGGCCCACGGCGGCGCTAGTGCGTGTGTACGTGTGTGGGTGTGTGTGCAGGCTGGGTGAGATGCCGATCGTGCCTTGTGCTGGTCATGGGCCGTCACCGTCAACGGCGTAGCGAGCGGAGTCGCCCATGTCAAGAGGCCCGCGAGAGCCATGGCGCTGCTCGAGTCGCCCAGCACCACCACCACCACCACCACGCCCAACACCACGCCCGGCTGGCCACACTAGCCCGACGCCGCCTGCTGCTGCTACAGGCACAGGCACAGGCACAACCACAACCACAACCTCACCCACACCCACGCCCGCTGCCCTCGTCGCACCCGCGTACCAAGGCACTCTCACACGCCTGGATAGTATAAAAAAGCACACGGCCCTCTCGTATCCGCACCCCCCTCCATCCCTGCCCTGCTCGCTCGGCACGCCCGCTTGGCTCCCCTAGCCCCATGCCCGACTGCAATCCTCTCAAGGCCGGGTTAACCTGCTTTAGGCCCGTTTAGCTCAGAAGCCACGAGCGGTGCCCATGTCTCCCTGCCTCTTACACCTGAAGGCCCAGATCTCGTCCACTCAGCGAGCAGCGGTTGCAGCGGTTGCAGCGAGCGAGGGCAAGAACATACCCCAGGGCCATAGGGCGACTGGCCGTTTTCTTCATTGTTGTGGCGCACTTTGTGGAAATCGTACTTGTTGAGCTGGCGGACAAAACTGGCAAAATTGCTGTGCTTGAAGTGCTTGGGGAGGATGTGCTTTGTGAATTTTTCATTCTAGCTTGGAGTCAACATGGCTGCATCGACGAGGGCAGGCGGCAGGCGCATACTTCCAGGACGACAAAGCTGTCGCCGTCGTTTCCCCAGCGCACCACGCTTTCGTCGCTGGGGTTCTCAAGCATCCTAGAGGGGAGGGGGGCGTCAGCACGCCCGGGACCTGCGTGTTGGGTGCAGGCGCGTCAACCTACTTGTACAGCTTGCGCACAAAGTCGCTCGAGTTGTTGGAGCCGCCTCCACTTCCCTGGCTGGGATCCATGATGGCGGGCTGGTCGCAAAGACGGCCGGGGGCAGCAGGCGTGGGTGCCAGTGGCAGCGGAAGCGCGACAGCAAGCGAATGGTCGCGTCGAGAGTCGAGGGGGCGGAGCGGGAGTGGTGGTGGTTGTGGGCGTGGGAGGCGAGGCCCTGGCCACGGGCTGGTCGCAATTGGGGGGCGGCGAAATGTCGAATGGCAGGGCGGGACAGGGCGCGAAGGTCAGGGTGCGCGGCGGCACGGGCGAAGAGGGTTTTGGGGGGGGGGGGATCGTGGTGCTTGGCGGAGGAGAGGCGTGGTGAAAGGGCGATGACGAAATCAGCCAAAACGGGCGCGCCGTGTCGCAGGAGGGCGGAGGGCGGAGGGCGATGCAGCGGCCCAAGTTGGCGCACGGATGGCTGACCAACACCACGCAGGCCTGGGAGTTCAAGCACCCCGATTTCAAAATGAACAACAAGGATGCTCTCGACAACATCCGTCGAAAGGCCCCTGCGCCGCGAAAACCAAACCAAGCCACCGCCGAGGACTTTGCGCCGTCGCAACAGATGGACATGGTCAGCGGACAGCTCATGGCCACGCAAGCCCAGCTGCACCAGCTCGAGGGCCGGTACAATGAGCTCAACATTCACCACTCAATGCTCCTGCAGGAAGTCATTGGCCTGCAAAAGACCGTCGTCAACCACGAGCATGTCATGCAGCAGATCATGACCTTTTTGCACGGCGTAGATGCGACGCAGAGAAGGAACAGCAAGCTCGTCTTTTCCAATGGCGCTGAGCCCCAGAACGGCAACATGGACCCACCCTCAACCAACGACGACGACAACCCTGCCTCGCCCCTGCAGCACGCTTCCAAGCTTCTCAGCGAAACAAACGCCGATGCCATGTTGAATCCTCGGAACCTCGAGCACATGAACGAAATCACCATGCGAATGAACGGTACCTTGACAACTCCACCACCAGACTTTTCTCGAGCCCAGGTGCGGCCCACCAGCCGCGGCCCGCCATCGGCAACCTCGACAACCTCTATGCGCCTCGACAACCTGGACAACCTCGTGTACCCCGTCGGATCCTCCAACGGCATAGACCCCATGTACAGCGAACACATCAACAACATTCCCTACGCTGCCCCGCCGAAAGCAGTCGAGGCAAGCGAGCCCAAAATGCCCGAAGGGAAAAAGAAGAATGCTTTCCCTGACCCAGGCTGGATTAGGCCACCGCAAATCCTGCTTGTCGAGGACGATCCCACATGCCGTCGTATCGGAAGCAAGTTCCTGTACGCTTTCCACTGCTCTATCGATAGCGCTGTAAGTCAATTTGCTCTGCCCTGCAATCATCTGTACTGACCCAATCTAGCTGGATGGTCTGGAAGCAGTCAATAAGATGAATGCTGGCTCCAAATACGACTTGGTTTTGATGGACATCATTATGCCAAACCTTGATGGTGTTTCTGCATGCCACTTGATCCGCCAATTCGACACCACACCCATTGTCGCCATGACTTCCAATATCCGCAGTGACGACATTTCAATGTACTTCCAGCATGGTAAGACAGTCCTGGTAGTCTGCTGATATTGTACTAACAAGCCTAGGCATGAACGATGTTCTTCCCAAGCCATTCACCAAGGAAGGCTTGCTGCATATGCTAGAAAAGCACCTTGTCCATCTGAAAAAGCCCACAGCCCAAGCCGACGGGTCCATGGTGGCGCCTCAGCCTGTGCAAATAGCCCGTCAATTGGTGCTCAAGGAAGAAGAATCGCCTGGGAAGTCACCACAGACCGTCAGCAACTGGAATTCGCCTAACCAAATACCGGGTGTATCTCCAGTGGGTGGTGCAGTCCCGGATGACTTTGCACAGGCCATGCGAGGCCAGCCAGTGCAACACCCTACTTCATATGCAGTGAATCCCATGCAAGGCAATATGGGATACACTACTTCGCCTCATTTGCAGATGACACCACAACAGCAACAACAGGCACAGCAACAGGCACAGCAACAAGCTCAGCAACAAGCTCAGCAACAAGCTCAGCAGCAAGCTCAGCAGCAAGCTCAACAGCAAGCTCAACAACAGCAACAGCAACAGCAGTTACAAAGCGGTCATCGCAGACAGGTCTCTGAGATGACTGGCGGCGATGACTTGAACAACCCCTCAAAGCGCCAGCAAATGTATCCTCCTCAGATCCCACAACAAATGGGATCTATGCAACCGCGATCACATTGATGATCGACATGATGGATGGTTCTGCAATTGAATTGAAGACAAAGGATTACAGGCGGTACACACCGGCCGTTGGCTCAAGGCTAACAGACATCAACTATGGATTGGATTGCTGCAATAAACAAAAACAGCTCTGTAGAAGCTGGAAATACGTTCCCATGGTCGGAAGATCATTTGTCGTGGCTGGGCCCCGGACGCTTGGTAGTAGAACGCAAGGATGCAATGTCTGAAAACTTATTTGCTGTCAGGGAGGGCATCAAGGCCTAATGGTTCTCGGCGTTCAAGGTTGTAGAGTGGTTTAGGTACGGGTTGTGTTGTAGTGCGCAAAAAGATTGGAGAGGCGGGCCAGGCGTGTGTATTGGAGCCGGTGGTGGGGTCGGACTTGCTATTACCTCCCAAAAGCTCCCCCCCCCCCCAGCCTACCACGACCGCTGAGTCACAGGTTCAAAACCAGGGAACCACCACGCAAAACCAGCACCCCGGGTCCCGCGTCTCGTCGCGGATCCTCTAGCGGGATGGCTCTGCGGGTAAGCCGCTGCAACAGGGCGCATGAATCTCGAACATGCTCGTGCGCGGCATTCTGGCCTGGCTGTGAAGGTCTGGACCGCCAGGGTCAGCATTAACTTGGAAATGCTTATTGCGACGACACTCAGGCTCCCAAGAACACGCAGCTTTGCCCATTTCATGACCACCGAATGCAACTTGACCCCAAGGCCTTGCATATGATCCGCAGCCGCTGGCTGAGGCTTTGGTAGCGAAACATGTCTTGTGCGGCTCCAAACCAACCCTGACAGCCATACGCCCTGTCGTACAAAAACTGCACCCGATTCAGACAATTACAAAAAAAGAAACGTGCCTCTTTCGTAGCCCCATTGCCCGGAGCAAAATAAAGTGCAAATTGTTTATCTAGCAAGTAGGGTATTTCCTAGCAAATGTCCCGCCCAGGCAACATGCCACCAAAAGGGAAGAAGGCGCAGGACAGGGGCAAGTCGGGCGAGGAGGAGCGTGACGAGCCGCTGCAGGCCGTGGTACGTCCCGCAATGCATCCATTGCCGCCCCCCCAATGTAGCTAACTTTGTAGATTCTCGCAGACCCATTCGAGACACGCTTCAGCCCCTTCACACTCGAGCACCCCAGAGTACGCGTGCCCAGACAGACACCACTCGCATACTGACACTTGCTAGTGTCTTCTGCCCCTCGCCAACACCCCGCTTATCGAGTACACGTTCGAGTTCCTCGCCAACGCCGGCGTAGAAGAAGTCTTTGTATATTGCGGCGCACACCGGGAACAGGTCGAGGACTACGTACAGGCCTCCAAATGGTCTTCCAAGTCGTCGCCCTTTTCAAAACTAGACCTCATCCAGTCGACATCGCACTCAATCGGAGATGCGATGCGCGACCTGGACAGCAGGGGCCTGCTAGTCGGTGACTTCCTCTTGGTGTATGGCGACGTGGTCAGCAATCTGCCGCTGGAGTCTGCGCTCGCAGCGCACCGGGCGCGGCGAGCCAAGGACAAGAATGCCATCATGACCATGGTGCTGCGTGAGGCGGGCACAAATCACAGGACCAAGGCTCAAGAAACTAGCCCCGTCTTTGTTATTGACCCACGCAAAGACCGATGCTTACACTTTGAACACATGCCCAACCGCGACCAGACGCACCATCTCTCCATCGACCCCGAAATCCTTTCGACCCACCAGGAAATCGAGGTTCGCCAGGATCTGATAGACTGCGGTATTGACATTTGCACACCCGACGTGCTGGCCTTGTGGAGCGACAACTTTGATTTCCAAGCGCCCCGCAAGGGCTTCCTACATAGCGTGTTGAAAGACTATGAGCTCAACGGCAAGACGTTCCACACACATATCATATCAGACCATTACGCGGCAAGAGTACGGAATCTCCACGCTTACGACGCGGTCAGCAAGGATATCGTCTCACGCTGGGCATATCCACTATGTCCAGACAGCAATCTGGTCCAAGGGCAGTCCTACCGGCTGCAAAAGCGCAATGCGTACAAAGAGGAGGGTGTCATTCTTGCCCGCGATTGCATTGTGGGGCCCAGAACAGTTATTGGACGAGGCACCAGTGTAGGCGACAAGAGTGTCATTACGAACAGCATCATTGGAAGGCACTGCCAGATTGGCCGCAATGTCAAGATTGATGGGGCGTACATCTGGGACTACGCGAGCATAGGAGACGGCAGCACCGTGACCAAGGCAATTGTCGCCAACGAAGCGACGATAGGGCGACGGTGTACCATAGAGGCCGGTGCGCTGATTTCGTACGGAGTTAGCATTGGTGAAGACATGACCATCCAGGGAGAACATCGAATCACAAGAACAAGACGAAGGCGAGAGGAAGGCGAGGAAGTCGTCCGAGGTGACCCGGATCCTACGATTGTTGGTGAAAAGGGCAACGGGTTCGAGTTCTACGATTCCGACGAGGATGATGAGGACGAAATTGTTGAGGGTCTTGTGATCAGGGGACCGAGTAAGTTGAATTGACACAATCATGGCGCTTGTGCTAACAAACTAGTGTACAACTTGTCAAACGAGTCAATATCCACGCTAAACTCGGATTCAGAAGCGGACGAATACGACATGGAGCGCCGCGAGAGATCAGCAACGAGCAGTTTCCTTTCGGTTGGCTCTGGAGACAGCCAGCACGCAGCAAACTTTGACCATGATGCCTCGGCCAGTATCTACGATTCGCTAGTCGAGGGCCATGAATCCGCCAACATCCAGCTGGAGCTTACGGCACTTCGTATGAGCACCAACGCCTCGGACCACCAGGTCAGGCGTGCGGTCGTGACTAGTTTCGTCAAGCGTGTGACTCAACTCATCAAGTCGGGTGAGGCGGTTAAGAGCGCCGTCGCACAGGTCTTTGGGCAGCACAAGGAGCTCATTGACCGGTCCATCTTCGACAAGAACGCCCAAGACAAGGCTGACCAGGTCGACTTTTTGCTCTTGCTTCAAGCAGACCTCAGCAACAAGGAGAATGGTGACAGCATCCTGCTCAGTGCAACGACCAAGCTGGTTGAGCTGGACTCTATCGAAGAGGAGGGCATGGTGCAATGGTGGGAAGGCGAGAAGAGCACCGAGAACGCGGACATGGCCAAGGTGCGCGAGAAGACAAAATCGCTCATCGATTTCCTACAGCAGGAGAGCGAAGAGGAGAGCGAGGAAGAGGAGGATGACGAGAGTGAAGAGGATGACTAGACGAGTGTTTTGTTGAGCGGTTTCACTCGATGCTTGCCAAGGCGGGATAGCATTGCACAAGCGGGTTGCTTTTTTAGCCATTAGTGGAGCAGATGCAGCGAAGCAGTTTGCAAAGAAGTTTATCCTTTGTGCGGTTCTCCCCCAACTTTGACAGGGTGGAAAACCAATATGGAATGACATCGTCATTCTGCGCCTGTCAAGCCACAGCATGGCACAGAGCAGTACCTCTTGTCGCGTTCTTTTCTTCTTCTTTTTATTCTCTCTTTTTTTTGCCTTTGACTGCCTGGATTCGCGAACGAGTCGTGGTGAAACGCAAAGGCAGATGCTGCTGGAGTACATGAAAAAGGCCAACGAAGGGGGCGTTTCAGCGAGGCGTGTCTTTGGGCGCACGTGGTTGCGAGAGGCGCGGGTTGCGTGTGAAAGGGGATTGCGTAAAGAGGGCCTCCAAAGGCAGAACCATGGTAGCTAGAAGAAGCGCTACTGCAGGAGTCACAGGCTGCAGGTGATGGAGAGAGAAAAAAGGGGGGTGGGCTGCTAGAGGGCCAGAGGTCGTGTGAGCCGGTGTTTGCCTGGATGGTGGCGCGCCACATGGAAGCGCGGCGAAGGTCGGGAGAGGCGCGCGCTGTGCTGCCGCCGCCGCCGCCGATGCTGCTGCTGCCTCTGCCCCATGCCTCTCTGCCTCTCTTTACGTCAGCCCCCGACGCTACACCCCGGGCCAACCATCGCCTGAGCTGCCCGCAGCCCAAGACCACTGCCTTCGACTTTCGACCCCCCAATCCTCGCCCTTCCTTCACCTGCCTCGCTGACCAATAACCCTTGTCGTCTGCCTCGCCTGTCCCGCCTGTCCCGCCACGCTGTCCGCGCCCCAGGCCTTATCAGCCCTCTTTCCCCAGTCACGCCCTGCCGCAGCCTAGTGTTCCGTCATCAGGCGGGACACCCTCACCCAAGACGCCTTCCACCACCATTCGCAAGCGGAAGGCTGACGAGGCCAACTACCTCAGTCCCGCAGAAGAGCCTCCCCACAAGAAGTCGCAGCCCCCGCCTGTTGTTCCTCTCCCTCACTCCCCCGCTACCGACGTCGGCAAGATGGATTCCGACGACGACTTCAACAGCTCCATGAGCGGCGATGACTTTGACGACCAGGACAGCGACATGGGTCTGGAAGATGGTGCGTCCACGATGCCGCCCTGCTGCTTGTTTGCACCGCCCGACTGACTGACTGACTGCTGCCAGACTCCGACTTCGACATGGAACAAGATGACGTGGGCTTCGAGACACAGGACAAAGACATCAAGCCAACCAAGCAGGCATATGAGGTGGACTTCAAGGTGTTCGACCCGACGCAAATCCAGGCACAGCAAGATAAGCAGGTCGGTGAGGTGTCGAGCATCCTCGGCCAGCCGCCCGAAGCCACCGCCATCCTCCTCCGACACCTGCGCTGGAACAAGGAGCGCTTGATCGACCAATACATGGAGAAGATGGATGAGGTCTTGGAGACGGCAGGACTTTGCCAAGACTCGACCACCAACCCACCCAAGATTCAAAAGCTCCCGGGCTTCGTCTGCGACATCTGCTGTGACGACAACCCGAATATGGACACGTTCGCCATGAAGTGCGGACATCGCTTCTGCCTGACGTGCTACAGGCAGTATCTTGGCACCAAAATCCAAGATGAGGGTGAGGCGGCCAGGATACGATGTCCGGGTGAGGGCTGCACCCGAATAGTCGACTCCAAGTCGCTAGACCTTCTTGTTACAGCCGACCTTCATGAAAGGTATGTTGATCACCGCCCTACTTTCCCCTGCACTCGGCTCACACGTACAGATATCACACCCTCCTCACACGAACCTACGTCGACGACAAAGAGAACCTGAAATGGTGCCCCGCTCCCGACTGTAAATACGCTATTGAATGCCCGGTGAAGAGCAAGGAGCTTACAAGGATTGTACCTACCGTACACTGCAATTGTGGACACGCCTTTTGCTTTGGCTGTACGTTGAACAACCACCAGCCTGCACCCTGCGCTCTGGTCAAGAAATGGGTCAAGAAGTGCGAGGACGATTCAGAGACGGCCAACTGGATATCCGCCAATACCAAGGAATGCCCCAACTGCAACTCGACGATTGAGAAGAATGGTGGTTGCAACCACATGACATGTCGAAAGTGTCGCAACGAGTTCTGCTGGATGTGCATGGGCAAGTGGTCAGAGCACGGCACCAGCTGGTACAACTGCAACCGCTTCGAAGAAAAGAGTGGATCCGAGGCACGCGATGCGCAGGCCAAGTCTCGACAGTCGCTCGAGCGATATCTTCACTACTACAACCGCTTTGCGAACCACGAACAGTCGGCAAAGCTAGACAAGGATCTCTATCTCAAGACTGAGAAGAAGATGCAGCAACTCCAGAATACTTCGGGCATGTCGTGGATTGAAGTGCAGTTCTTGGACCAAGCGTCGCAAGCACTTCAGCAGTGTCGACAGGTGCTTAAGTGGACCTATGCCTTTGCCTACTATCTTGCGCGAAACAACCTCACAGATATTTTTGAAGACAACCAGAAGGACTTGGAGATGGCTGTCGAAAACCTGAGTGAGATGTTCGAGAAGCCAATTGACCAGTTGAAAGACTTGAAGGTCGACATTCTCGACAAAACATCGTACTGCACAAAACGCCGCATAATCCTCCTGAACGACACAGCCGAGAACCTCAAGCTTGGTAAGTGATTGAGCCTACAAGGGCTTGGACGGTGTTGAATTGCTGCTAACCGGCTATTAGGCAACTGGAAGTTCAATGTGGACCTAGCGTAGAACGCCATAGGAACATGGAGGTTGACACGCACGACATGATGGCCCACGCTAGTAACTCACGGTCGTAGCCTGCAAGAAACCAAGATGCACACAACATGCATCACGCTCGACACTGTGTCGCGTACGTTTGAGGGAGAGGAAGGCATCTAGTAGCATGGGTATTACGAAGCAGGCTGGCCGAAAAATCCATCGACTGGAAAGATATATGTCTCATGCATGGTTATCTCCCCAACGTGGTATATTGCATACTTAGTGTAACTGGCGCTTAAGGTGTGGCGTTTTATCCAGCATGGAGTTGTACTATCAGATAGGTATCAGCGGTTCAGCGGGCTAGGCTTAGCATTGTCAATTTTCTCTACTTTTCTGTTCTACTTTGTCTTCTTACACCTTGCCTTCCTGAATGCAGTCATGTGTTATGTGAATCACTATGCGTATGTTGCCTGCATGGGATGGACCTAATCAACGCTTGTGCGACGTCAAGTGGGGGCTTATGTCACTTTCGATCTGCTATTATCGATTGAAAATCTATTTCCCTATTTGTTCCACGTAGAATGCTGCACGCATCCATACGCTGCACCAAAATTAACATTCTACCAGATTATGATAGACCAGTAATAGTACATTCACCACACTCACACACATCTACTCCCAGCGTCTCTCTACCCTTTCCTATACGTCACCAACAGCACAATGGCCACGACCTGGGGTATAATACCAAAAAGAAGAATAGCCCAATACAGCACAACAGCCCGGCTTCCCCTCGTCGACCCAATGTACAGCGCAGTCCCCAGCTGCAGCGGCAACGGTATAAGAATCATAATGTCTCTCGCCAGCATGACGGCGCTCGTAACCGACGCCCCGATACACACCAGCATACCCAGAATAGACCACTTGTGTCTGTTGAGCCACGTGGGGACGCCGCCCCATTCCCGGGCTGCCTCGCCGTGGGAGAGCAGTGGCGCTGCATACGAAATCGAGCCGCCGCGTAACTCGACGGTGACGCGGTGCCGCAGCGCTTCTTCGGTAAACGCAGGAGTAGTTTGCACGCTCGTCGTACTAGCAGTAGTAGTGACGTCGCCCTTGGCCTTTCCCTCATAAGTATCAGTATGAGTATCATGCACACCCTGGCTGCGCATGGCATCCGCCAGCTCCAGCACCGCAACATGGTCGCCCGCCACATGCGTCCTGCCGCGCCGCTTCATGGTGCTGTGTGCACTCAGCCACATGGCGTATATCCCTACCGACCAGACCACACTCAGAACCAGCACGACGAACAGCTGCACAAAGGCAAAGCCCCACTGGTAATTCGGAACCGCCTGGCACGTGCCCCGCTCTGATATGGCGGCGCGCGTGTACGTCGTGTTGGCGTAGGCCCAGCGGAGCTGTGCGACATCTGCGAATGCAGGCTTTGTTGTTGTTGTTGCTGCTGTGTTTTGCTTGGGCGTCAGGAGGAGTGCGTTGGTGGATGCGTCGGATGAGAGGTAGAAAGTGGAGATGTTGAGGACCGGGGGTGCGAGATCAATGCCCATGAAGGTTGAGTTGACGTTGGATTTCCCATTGAGACCGTACTTGCTGACGTCTGGGTTTGGAGGGTTAGCTTAGCCTGAGGGAGCAATTCTTTTTTTTTGGTGAGAGAGATTAGGAGTGAAACGTACAGCTTGATACGTTGGATTGCACGTAGCAGTCTTCGGCTTGGTATCCTGGAGCACGCGTACTGAAGCATTTGGTGGTTCCGATGCTCGTCTTGAATACGGTGGGCTGGCCTGAAGAAAAAGCTGGTGATGGAACTGTTAGCTTTTTTTTTCTTTCTCTTTTTGCGTCTTTGTGTTATGGGGGGAAAACAAGCCCTCGTTCAAACGTACCATCTGGAACCGCAGAATCCGTCACGAGATAGTCGCCCCCCTGCCCGATTCTCTCGCCGTCGTGGATGACGAAAAACGCATAGTCCATGGAGGCGAATGGCACAAGGTTGCCGTTGGTCGTGTTGACAAACGCAACGACGTTGGCTTTGTACCCGGCCATGGCGCCAGCGAGCGTGGGATAAATCAGCGTAAACACCATGGCGTAGATCATAAACACCATGGCCAGTTTCGAATGCAATCCATGGCGAGTGCAAAAATCCATGACCAGGTGGGGAATCGCCTTTGGCACAGAGGTTCGCATGAAAATGGCGCGGTACGTTCTGAAGGTGACGGGCGTAACTTCCATGGATGTTGTGACATAGTTTGCGAAAACGCACCATGATGTGTACACGAGGATAGCTTGGCCTACGCGTCCAACTACCTTTTTTCAGGGGGGGGGGTTCGTTAGTTTAGTTTCGTAGAGGTGCTTCCCGCCCGTCAGTGGACAGTGAGTGGACTTGTCAAACGTACAATGCCCCATGCTACATCGATAACTTTTGCTTGCGTAAACGTCAACGGCCCGTACGCCAACGTAATCTCGGAGAAGCCTGAGCGAGAGAAATAGCGGTATGACGAAGGATCTACCGAAAAGGATCCATCGGGAAGACAAGCTCGATAGTCACCGAGATATAGCCTGCCGGTCGAACTCAATGTGCTGAGCCCGTACAGTAGCCCGCCGAACCAGATTGTGGCGAGCAACCAGATTCCACAGCCTTTCCAGCGTTTGCGGAAATCAATGGCTGCTTGCCGGTGACTGCGGCGCCATGCGTTGGGCGAGCGTGTTGCTTTTGCGCTGGCGGCAAACGGGTCGGATGCTGTGTCGTTGGACTCCAGTGCTGGTGACTGGAACGTCATGGTGTGTGGCCAGGGAGCGAAGGCTATTTTGATTGGTTTGGGCGTGAAACAGTACCAGAAGAAAAGGGTGTTCTGGCTATAAGAAGATCAAGGGGAAAGGCAGTTCATATCTAACTTACCACGTCGTTGAAAAGAAATCAAACAGCGTTAGTCCCCGTGCAGCTGGATGAAATGTCTGCATTTCTTGTCAGGAGGTGTGGGTGAGATTTTAGTGGTATTTCGTGCCCTTGGGGTTGTAGGGGCCAAGTTAGGCGTCCCAGTCTATCTTCCAACGGCTAGTGCACAAGTGGCGATTATCCAGCTGTGTTCATAGCCGGTTTCCAAGGCTGTCTGGAGGAGCTCATTTAGCCAACGGTACAGATACGCACGGTGCTTGAAAACATGGGTCTGCTCTTGTGGCTAGCCCCTGGCCCGTAAGTTGCACCAGCGAGACATAGCCACAGTTGTTGTGAGGCTGAGCAAGTGTAGTAGGACAGTGCCCAGCACGTCCAGCGGGGACGTACTGCGATGGGATTACAGGCTGTGATTATTCCTGTATCGTCGGCACGCAGTTTATTCTTAACAAAAAGCCGTATCGTAGATGCACCTTTACTGTTGAATGTAGATGTACTATAGATACAGCTTGGGCGTGGTGAGTAATACCCTTTAGGTCTAGCTTTATCCTAAAGCAGTAAAAAATAGGGCAACAGGCTCTTTACCATGCACCGATCACGTAACAGCTTGCTGTCACGTAGTTCATCTTACTTTGAACTATGCTGCTTTTAAAGAAGGTTCGCCCTAAAGAGATATAGAACACAATGCTTGGGCTGTAATCACCGCGTACTTGTACAGTTTGTACCGAAGGTAACGCACCCCCACAGTAGTCTGAATACGGCATGCACGTTGGACACACTGGCAGGGGGCAGGGTGCTAGGTATGCATTAGTTGGCCTGGACCTTTGCCAGGCTGTGAGCACCTTGGTGGTAAGTAATGCTATTGGGTAGAACTGCCGGCTTTATTTCGGAGCGGTTCAAGACTGTGGCGCTGGCCTCGTTAAGTTTTTTTTAATAGCACATGTGTGATATAGTGCTGTATACCAAGGGTCAAGGGTCTCAGCTGTTAACATGCTTAGCCTCATTTGACAGGATGCGAAAGTAAAACATCTATAAATGGCGTCCGTCTCGTCACTATGCCCTCTGCTCCCACTTCTTGACATTGATTATCGACATGAGCGAGCTTGGTTTTCAAAAGTCCTGGAGACACAAACTCAGCTGGCCACTCCGCGCACCTTCTCCTTCACGCCCAGCTTTACAAGTAGCCGAAAATTATGATGTGCACGCTCTCAGGGCACTATTCAGGTAAAAACTTAAGCAATACTGCGCCGATTTCTATAGGCATGAGATGCTCGCCATAGTTACGGAAGGTGCTTCTACCACGACTCCCGATGGAGACACTGGACTGGGAAACTGGGTCTGGGGTACATTGCCTTCTCATTGCAGGCCCCAAAAGCAGCTATACATTGATTGTTTCTTGCAGAAACATTCAGAGCTCATGTATGAACTCCTAGCGGGAATGAGAGCAACGAGGATTGAGTGAACTGGAGAAACTAGCGATACAGCCACGTCGCAGAATTTCGTTCACTCATTGCTACAATACAACATACTCCCTACGCGAATACAGTCTTGTTATAGTACTGTATATCTATAACATAGCCATGTCATCCTGTAGACGTAGGTAGCCAAAAGCTGTCCTGCATAAAGGGTCTTAAATCCACAATCAGGTAGCAATAGTTCCAAGCACTTCATACTGTCCTAGTACAAGGTTACGTTCTATTTACTGTCTCCTCCGTCTGCCATACCCTGCAATTCTATATACGATCCAAAGACTTGGTTGACCTAACATTGTATAGCGTTTTGGCTTGGCATCCTATACATATTCTATGGTGAAGAAATATAAGGGAATCTATGTACATACTGTAATGATGGCTCCATTGCAGACCAAGTTAACAGTCTAAAGAATATACATTGTTCTCTGGCGCAGTCCCAACAGAGCATGGAGCGCCTACGGCAGTATTGCCCTACAGAAAGTGCACGTTAGTAAAAGCATGATTATTCTCGATTAATTGAAATCGATGCTTACATTTCTACAAAGCCAAGTGCCTTGTTGAATAATGTCGCAAAATCTGCGGCCCCTGGATACAATTACTGTGCCCTGATTCATGGGTTAGTATACGTGATCTGTTACAGGCGAGGATTTGTAGTGCAGTACGTGGTATGGTGGGACCTCATTTTGGGCACTTGAGAGTGCGAAAAGAGTAGTGAGGACCAGTGAGGATAGCGAGAGCTTCATCGTGTTTACTTGATGAGAAATCGGGTGGTTTAAAAGTAAGAAATCTTGCAGGAAATTGTGTTGTTGTCTTTGCTCAAGAGTGATGGAACTTGTGTCGAGGAACCTGTGGCAGTACCTCTTGTCGGGTATTTGTACGATTATTCGTAGCTGCAAAACCCATAACAATTTAGGCTAGCAAATAGAAAGAGCATAGTAAGCACTATTGATAACAGAGTCTTTTAGGAAGGGTTGTAGCGAACTAGTTAGATATTGCTATGTTACTGGTAAAGCGGCATCTCTAACCACAAGTAACAGATCAGGTGATCCTTTGAAGGACTCTGCTTAGAGAGCTCGCGCAAGGGTATACTGTAAATGTGTTTAATGCTCACCTATCTGATGTCAGTTATAGAGGAACAAACTGTAGGAGAGAAACAGCACCTCACACAACATAGTAGCGTACACTCTAGCAGAAAAGCAGCACGACACTATTACGCCTCGCACCTACTCCACTATAAGCAAGCATTACGCAACACAAGACGGCGGCAACATTTCCGAGTCGTGTCTCATACCCAACATGGCAGCATGACGACTCTCTATGCCGCAAATGACTCAAACCCGTAAGCTGGAGCCACGAATTCCTGGTCTGTTTGCAACTCGACCCATTTCCCGCGAGTAAAGGGAAACACAGGAGCATTGCATTGTCCGACAGAAACACTCAACGGAACTGTGGTAGCATGCAAGCACAAACAAAAACATATCGTGGAACAGGTGACGTTATGTGATAGCCTACTACTAATAGCCTTATCTGTATAGGTTTTACCTTTCTGCGCTTTGTGCAAATAGCTTATGTTGCCTATTTGACTAAATATAGTAATCAGAGCTATCTAGCAGATTTATCTTCGCTCTTTGAAGGAGTTTTACATAGAGATTAAAGTGTCTACGCAGCTGCCTCTTAGCTGAATTAAAGATCCGCTACCCTAATAATACTAGTGTGCTGTGTTGGTTGATGGAAATTATGCACTAAATCCATGCACTAGCGTCGTCATGGTGATAACACCCCTGTCTTTCAGGCCACGTCCTGCACCGGTGTAGACAATGAGGCAAAATAGTACACGCGTTCAGTTTCAAAACAGGCAGCCGCCAAGACGGAGACGGGATAGCCTCCGTGTCAGGAAATCACGTGCTTTGTGGCAATAATCGCGTGCTACGCGTTGAAGCCACCATGGTCCATCACAGTCGCGTCAAGTCGAGAAAACAACATCATGCTATGGAGATAAGAAGATTCATTTCCAGATATCTAGTCCATCTCGTTGTACGTTTCGTATCCGAACCCATCCAGTAGCATACAGTTACATCAAATTGTGCCCAATGAAATATGAAAACATACGCGCCGTATCACCATTCGACGCCTGTTCCCAAATCATCCCGTGCCATGTAGAAGTAGATCACGTCTGAACGTGTGAATTATAACCATCTTGCCATTTAGTGGCTAGCGAGGCGCTCCTTGACCTCCTTGAACATCTCGCTCATCTCCTCGGCGATGAAGTCCTCGATCTCAGCCTCGAGTTCCTGGAGCTTACCTCCAACACGGTGAGTCTTGCGGCCAGCAGACTCCTTGGCCTTCTCGAAGTCCTCCTCAAGCTCGGAGAGAGATGGGATGGTGATGGTGAACTCAGACTCCTTCTGCTCCTTGGCAGCCTTCTTGACCGTGTAGCCGCCCTTCTCAACAATCTCAGAGTAGTTGGACGAGCCACCACCGTTCCAGGCGAGGACGTTGGCGGTGTTGCTGGGCACGTCAGAGAGAGCACCAACGGTGCCAATAGCGATCAAGTTAGCCTTGAGCTTCTTGGGGGTGATGTCGGCAACAGCGTAAGCAGAGTCCTTGGCAGGCTGAAGAGACAGCATGTAGGCAAGGAGACCAGCAATGTGAGGCGAGGCCATCGAGGTACCAGAGATGGTGTTGGTGGCGTGCTCAGAGCCGATCCAAGTGGAGAGAATGTTGAGACCAGGGGCAAAGATGTCGTTGCACTTTCCGTAGTTGGAGAAGTAGGCACGCTCATCGAGAAGAGTGGAGGCACCGACGGTGACGGCGTTCTCAGCCGCAGCAGGGGAGTAGTTGCACGAGTCGGCGTTGTCGTTACCGGCAGCCACGGCGAAGTGGAGGCCAGCGTCGACGGCGGCGTTGACAGCCATGTCGAGGGTGGTGGACTTGCCACCTCCCAAGCTCATGTTGGCAGTGCTGCCCTTGAAGCCCTTCTTCTTGCCGTTCTTGGCAGCCTGGACAGTCTCGAGATGAGACTTGGCCGCGAACTCAACGCCCTTGACGACATCGGACATGGTGCCCGAGCCGTTGGAGCGGAGCACCTTGACGGCGTACACGTGTGCCTTCTTGGCAACACCGTACTTCTTACCGGCAGCCGTGCCCGAGCAGTGGGTGCCGTGGCCGTTGCCATCCTCGTCGGAGTCACCGTTGGGGATGGTCTTGCCCCACTTGGCACGACCCTCAAAGTCGACGTGCTTGGTGTTTGTGCCAGTGTCGATGACATAGATGTCAACACCCTCACCGCCGTCGGCGGCGTAGAGGTACTTGTTCCAGGTGCCGAAGCTCAGCGAGTCGCGGTGCGAGATACGGGCAAGACCCCAGGGGGAGTTCTTCTCGATCTCGGGCTCCTCGCCGCCGAGCGTGTGGACCTCCGAGTCGCGTTCGATGTAGTCAACCTGTCCACTTGTTAGCGCCAAGTCCCCTGCAGGTACCACGACCCAGTACACGTCACGTGCGTGACCCGGGTTGGCTGGGGGAGCCAAGGCGGTCAGCGCCGCACCGACGCGGCGCTGCTGCCTCGGCGGAAATGGAACTTACATCAGGGTGGTTACGGATCGCCTCGAGGGTCTCGTCGTCAAAATGACCCGAGTAGCCCTTCATGCCGGTCATCTCGTATGTGTGCTTGAGGCCAGCAAAGACCTCGCTGGTCACAGGCAGGTCCGTGGAGCGCTTTCGCAGCTCCATGCGCTCCTGTGAGTTCTTGGAGTGGACGCTCTGGACCCAGTCGTGGTGCTTGGAGGCATCCTTGACGTGCTTCTTGAACACGACCATGTAGCTGTTGGGCACCTCCTTGGCCGTCGTCGACGACAGGACGGGAGCCGAGTCCTTGTGGATCGTCTCTGTCGAGAAGGTGGGCGACGCTGCGGCCAGGGCCGGTAGCGCGGCGATCAGGCTGTACCTCATGGTTGCGGGTGGGCTCGCACAGCGAGGATTGCGGAAGACAAGCCTGGGGGGGTTTGGGGACAAGAAGGGGGGAGCGACAAAGGGGGGAGCGACAAAGGGGGGAGAGGGAGGAGGATGGGAGGAGGATGGGGGAGAGCTGGGGATAGCTACGGCGATGGAGCTCTTATCAGGGCGGCCGAGGTGCATTGACCCACCCATTCATGACGCACCTGACCTGGAGCTTGAGCACCGCCCGTGAGGCTGGGGCAGCGCTAGGCCGCATGCGGAGGGGATGCACGCGCTCGCGTATCAGATGGCGCCTGCGCCGTATCAAGATGGCGGAGCGCGACGCTGCTGGGCAACGCTCTCTCGAGCAGGAGCCTCAGCAGACTATCGACGCCCCCCATGCGGCGCAGGGCGCTGCTCTGGCTCTGGAGCACATGGGGCGAGGGCGGCGAGGCGTCGGCGGCCGTCAGAAGTTCGTCGGCGAGGCTGCGGAGCTCGGCTATCTGGTTGTTCATGGGCGGGAGTTTGGAGGCGGCCGTCGACGACCTGTGCGGCCGGGTGGTGGCCATGTTCAGGCGAGGCCGCTGCTGGGGGCGTTGGTGGGCGGAGGAGGTGGCGGGGCGGTAGAAAGTGCAATCATGTCTCCCGGGCCCCGCGTGCGCACATGAGGCGTGGATGCAGGCCGGGCGGGACAGGCGAGGGTTGAGAGATTGACGTCGTCTCTCGCCAGGGCCGGTGCGTCGCGTATCAGGCGCTGGTGTTGCTAAAACAGATGGTGGAGCTTGGACTCTGCTGGTTGTGTGAGCTACCCTGCCCTGCCCTTACCCCAGGCAGCCGCCGCGCGGTGGAGCCGACAGCAACTCGACAGCAGTGTGTGTTAGTGCACGAGTGCGCGCGGATAGCGAGCGGCAATGGCCAGCCCGCATGCCCGCGAGGGGTTGATATGATAAACAGCGCGTTTGCCTCGCACGCGGGCCTCGAGGGGCACTGCTGACGACACGGCCTCGACCCGCCTGGCTGGGCGGCCTAGACGGAGAGGCCCTTGGGCGGGCGATGCTGGCTGGCTGCTGGGGGGTTTGCAGTGGCCGTCAGCACGCCGCCGCCGCCGTCGCCGCCGCCGCCGCCTCAGTTGCCGCTTGGGGCAGCCTTCTCTGGGGGGGTGGCAGACATGGCCGACGTGCCGCTGGGACGGGGGCGGGGACGGGGACTGGGACGGCTTGAGGCGCCAGCTGCTCATAGAATCAAACAACCAAACCCACACAAAGGATGCCTTTCGCCATGTCCGCGGCTTCGAGACGCTGCTCGTCACCCTCCGCTCGCTCTCGGGCTTCTACAAGCCGGCTGAGCTGGCCGCCCCCGACCGCATCGACTTCTTCGAGGTGATCAAGGCAGCGCTCGATGTGCTGTCAGACGCACTCAACGAGCATGCCGGTAACAGGCGCTTCTTTGCGAAGCGGGTCGAGCAGGGCGGTTGGAATGCATTGGAGCAGGCCCTGGGCAGCACGGGCATCTTTGGCGGTCAGTCCCAGAGCAAGCGTGATGATGCGGGGCAGGAGCAGCTCTTCGGCACCCTCTTCGCCTTTGCAGTGGGCGAAGAGGCAATGACAAGGATATTCAGGGACGTCGATAAGAAGATGGAAGAGGCACAGCCCGACCAAGACGAGGCTCCCGCACCACACGGCGGCGAGCAGCCCGCCGACATTGTCGTGTCTAGCCCACGGTCCGTGTACAGCGACGCCGAGATAGATGTCGAGTCATTGCGCGCCCAGGTACGCGCCATCTTCAGCGGGAATGAAGTGCTGCAGAACCCAGACATCATGCCCACCATCTTCCACTTCTGGCAGGGCTTGTCGGGCAAGGATGTCCCGGGCACGCGCTCTAAACCACTTTCCCTTTCGGTACTCCTTGCCATTCTTGAGATGACTGCGCTGTCCTCGTACAATAAAGCTGCTCTGCATGTCACGGGCGTATTGAGCTCAATACTACCTCTGCTTTTCGAAAACAAGTGCGCTCCCATAGAAGCCGGCCTGCTGCAAGATCTGGCCAACGATTTGGTGCAATATGGCATCAACAAGCTCGACGACGCCTACTACCTCTTCCGCAAGGCTGCGTCTTCGGAAAAGGCGGCCGAGTTTCTCTTACGCGGCATGCGCTCGTCGCGCGACCCGCCATTCATCCAATTCGATCTGTCGTTGCACGGCTTCAGCGCAGTTGAACTCCCAGATATCGGCCGGCCGTTTCCGCCCGTCTCCCCCGGGGCCGGCTACACATTTGCTGCATGGGTGCGAGTCGACAAGTTTGACACTGACTGCCACACTACACTATTCGGAGCGTATGACGACACACAAACGTGTTTCCTCATGGCATACCTGGAGCGGGATACCCGCTGCTTCATTTTGCAGACTTACATGGGGCATTCGTCGGGCGTTATTCCCAGTGTACGGTTCAAAAAGGCCCCGCGGTTTGAAGAGGGCAGATGGTACCACATTGCGGTTGTCCATCGAAGAGCCAAGGCCATTGGCATGGGCCCTGCCAAAGCATCCCTTTTCGTGGATGGTGAGTTTACCGAGACCATGAAAGCGCACTACCCATCGCACCCCCCAGTGCTAGACAGTAGCCAGGAGAGCTTTGCCTCGATGTCTTCCAGCATCTCCAAGCACCATATTCTCGCATTCCTAGGAACACCACGGAATCTCGCGCCTCGACTAGGAAGGAACGTCATCTCTTCAAAGCTGTCAGTCGCTTCATTCCATCTTTTTTCCGAGCCACTGTCGGACGAGCTGATTGCTGTGTATCATAAACTTGGCCCACGCTACTGTGGAAACTTTCAAGACAAGCTTGGGTCTTTCCAAACCTACAGAACTTCTGCTGAGCTTCATGTTCACAATGAGATACTTCACCCGGGGAGAGAAGAGCGCTCAGATATTGTGGCGGCGATCCGAGCACCTGCAAGCCATCTCATGTCCGAGTCCAAGATCATACTGAGCTTTTCGCCTAATTCTGTCATGGACGATGACGACAGAAATTCCATCGATGAGTCTCAGCTGATTCGGTCGCTGTCGCGAGAAGCAGCCAAAACCCTTCACAAGTACACCAGGATGCATAGCACGCCAATCATTATCAACGCTGCTGTTCCGTCTGTAAATGATGCCTTGACACAGCCACGGGGGTTTGGACTGCTGTCTGGCGACCCCGTCGTTGTTGTTCCCCAATCGCTCGATGATGCAATCTGGCGAGTTGGGGGGTGTGTTGCTGTTGGCTTAAAGCTGGTGCAATCCGCCCAAACCCTGCAAAGCATGCTCCGTGCCGTCAACATACTACTAGAGGCTGTTGGAGGCAACTGGCGCAATTGTGAAGCCATGGAGCAGCGCAACGGGTTTGCGGTTCTGGCCGAAGTCTTGCGCCAGAAGATTGGATTCACCATGGGTGGGTTGGTAACACGGAATCCTTCATCACTTGATGTTACACAGGACGAGTGTGAAGCATTCGTTCTGCAGCTGCTGCGAGTCATTCTTCGATTTGTTGGATATGATGAGGAGCAGCCGACTGAGTCGCTCATCATCAATCCACTCGCGTACAGAGTCCTTCTGGTCGACTTGGAAATCTGGCGCCGAGCTACTTCCTTGGAGATTCAGAAACTCTACTACTCGCAATTTGTCCAATTTGCCCGGGGCAGCAAACACCATCACTACAATGCGAAGCGCTTTCATAGAATACGTAGGTACGGTTGCCAGATATGTTGATCACTAGCTAATATGCTCAAGGTGTGGTCAAGCGCCTCACAGACGCTCTCAAGGGAGAAAGGTTCACCCCGCAGACCTTCAAACTCTTTCTTGATGCTTTCAGGACTCTCTTGTTAATCAATTTCAACGGGGAGAATGCGAGATCACTTTCTCTTTTTGTTACGTATGCACTGCATGACAGTCGTGCGTCTTATGGGAAGCGACCGCTGCGCCCAAGAGTAAGCGCTGTTCGTCTTCGGAAAAATACGTCACCTGCATTGGCACCAGACGCTACACCACGGTCAAGAAGTCCAGCTCAAAAAGGCGCGGATACGCCGCCATTGTCTCTGCCAGATTTAGGCATTGCTATTCTCAACCTCCTAGCAGAACTGCTGTGTGACCCTCACAACCCGAACGAGGTAGTACGCTTTGCAAAGAACGTCACCGGCAAATGGCTCCTTTACCTCCTCGCTGAACCTGATCAGCGGGTCGTCACTCTCGGTGCAAAGATTCTAGCCCGATTGCTTGTGCTCAATGGAACGCATTATGTCAAGAAGTTTGCGGACAAGACAGGCGGATTCATCCTCATGAAGAACAGACTGCGCCACTGGTGGAACACTCCGGGCATCTGGACCATATGCTTTGCCGTCCTGTTTGGGCGCGACGTGGCAACTATAGACTTTGAGCGTGATTTCGATGTCTTCAATCTGGTCGATATCTTCATCGCTCATTCACCCCAGTCTGAGCTAAGGATCTGCTACCCGGAAGTTTTTCCTGTAATCACAGCAATGCTAGAGACAGGACTACGAGCCATTGTGCGCGATCGCGATCTGGCTCGGACGGACAACAATACTCCCAAACAGGAAAACGGTGAAGGCACCGTCACTCGAGGCCGACGCAGAACGATGTCGCTGAATGCCAAGCAGCCGACCGTCGGTATGTACAGGCTTGCCAACCTATGTCATCAGCACTAACTACTTCAGACTTACGCGCGCCCCAGACCGACCGCTTGAACGACTATGCTGTTGTTTTGAACTCCGCCATCCAATTCCTGTCTGAACTGCACTCTCGCGCTGAAGGGTTCCGTGACTATGCGAACACATCTAATTATGTTCAAGAGTTGTTGTTCGTTCTGTACCCGGTGATTGTGACGTCTGACAGTGTGAGCGCAGAGACGGAGCTGCTTTCAAGAGGCTCAGCGTTGACGTTTGAGGGCCAGGACGTCGTGATACAGCCACTTTCCAAAGCCAATGGAAACGAAGCTCCCGTGATTCGCACCACTCACGCTGACGCATCACCTGCACCTTCTTCTCGCCGCGTGCTGCCTCTTCGTAGAGCATCATCTTTTGTGCTCGTATCGGCAGATAAGAAGAAGGTTGCTCAACAGCCTTCTCTGAACCCTATCCTCTCCTCAAGGACGACTCCCCCTATGCCGCTAAAGGTGGGCAGTACGGTAGTTGAGGCTATGCTGGAGGTCATTCTGGATGTCTTCAAGGACCAAATATTCACACGCAAAGACTTCCCTGGCTTGGGGTTATTCTTGAAAACACCCCCAGGATTCCAAGAACACCAGGCATATTTCGAATCATACATTCTACGACAGACTATGCTGTCCGCGAGGAACGCACTGCAACTTGACCAACAGCTTTTGCATGAGCCTCGGGTTCTTACGAATCTCTCACGGTTTGTCCAGCACGTGTCTGAAGCCGTCTTCGAAGGGTGGTTCCTCGAAGGTGCAGAGCCTTTACTCGACTTTGCTGGTTTTCTTTTGGAATATTTGGAGCGCCCCGACATTGCGGCCATCAAATCCGTCAGACTTTGCACGCAAGCTATTCAGTCAATTCGCACCACTTTCTTGAAAGTTGCTCTTCTCCGGCTAGCCGACCCAGACGAATCCGAAGGCGGAGTAAGCACCACCGCAGTGATTGAGAAGATGGTATATTGGCAGCCGATCATCTTGTCGTCTGCTAACAACGAGACTTTCTCATTGAAGATGATTTGTTATCTACTGTACTCGCAACTGTCCTCGGAACACATGACAGTACGCCTTGCAGCGGCGAGCTTCTGGAGGTTGTTAATGGTTCAGAAGCCCCACGAAACATCCATGATACTAGCCGATGCGATTCATGGAGACACCAAGGACCTATACGATGGTTTCCAGAAGCTTGTCGAATTAGACAATGAGACTTTCCTCGAGTGGCTTGACAATAACAAGGCAGAAATGGATCGATTCTTCTTCGGCTCAATGACTAAATCATGGGAAGATTATGTCCATGGCCAGAACAAGAAGACTGAAGAGACTTCACAGAGACGCGTTGCTAAGCGCAAGGAAAAGCTAAAACAGTGGCAATCTGACGAGCTTACTGCTGAGAATGTCTGGAATCACCACGAGAACTCAACAAACCACTGGCGGTCGAACATACATGCTTCAGAACGAATCAAGCACCAGCGTGTTCTTCAGGATCAGCAAGACAATGCTACCTTTATGGCAACAGTTTTAGCCAAGCTGGATCATCAACTAAAAGGTCCATGTGGTCTGTTTGAGAACAGCCCTCCTGCCCGATGGCGGCTTGATGAAACTGAAGGTCGTGACCGAAAGCGTTTGCGCATCATTGTCGACAACACGAGCCGAGATCAAAGCTATCAGCCCAAACGCAAAGACACTGACCCGCGGGATCGACTCAAACTCGACACCACTGTGCCTGCCATTACGGCTAAAGAAGCTGTGGGCATTACCCCCGTTGGCGGGCGGTCAGCTAGATCATTATCTGGAGCCAGTGCATCGGGCGACCACGCAGACGACGCAGAGTCGGGTAGTGACGACGACTTTGAAATGGTTGAAGCCATGTATGAGGATGAAGATGGCTTCGAGGATAAGAATCGGAAAGTCATGCGCAGTCTTAATCGTGGAGACCAAGTCCAATATGTCTGCAATATTTCCCGAGTAGTTGGTCTCGAAGCCATAGAAGGTCTTCTCATCGTGGGGAAAGACTGTCTCTACCTGCTAGATGACTTTTTCCAAAGATCTGACGGCGAAATTGTGCGCGTCTGGCAGGCACCGCCCGATGAGCGTGATCCATACGTGCAAGTCATTGCTGGCAAAGAGGCAGTGACGAACCGTCGCCCACCACCCAGAAGTCAGGAAGAGGCAGTGCGGAATTGGAAGTGGACCGAAGTCATCAGCATCTCAAAGCGGCGCTTCCTCCACCGTGATGTGGGCATCGAAATCTTCTTCGACGACGGACGCAGCTACCTTCTCACAGCCATCTCTGCACAAGCCCGGAACGACATACATTCCCGTGTTCTTCAACGAGCGTCACATGTAGCAAACCCTGACAAGCTCGGCAACTCTGAAATCTCGTGGCGGCTCGATTCCTTGCGCAACCCCGAAGAGGCGCCTCAGACGCTTGGGTCACGCTTCGTATCTGCATTTGGTTCGGCTTCGTCACATCCAGCAACGAAGAAGTGGCTCAAAGGAGAAATGTCCAACTTCCATTACCTCATGTTCGTCAACACGCTCGCCGGGAGGACCTTCAACGACCTCACCCAATATCCAGTGTTCCCTTGGGTACTCTCGAATTACCACAGTGAAGAGCTGGACCTGAGCGATCCGAGCAACTTTCGGGATCTCCGGAAGCCTATCGGTATTCAAGATCCCAAACAGGAACATCTGATCAGAGAAAGGTTCAGTTCTTTTGCAGAGATGGGCGATGCCAGCCATGCCTTTCATTACGGGACTCACTACTCGTCTGCCATGACCGTGGCATCTTATCTCATGCGCCTTCAGCCTTTTAGTGCAGCATTTTTCCTTATTCAAGGCGGCACGTGGGATCATGCTGATCGCATGTTCTACTCGATTCAGAACGTATGGGAGTCGGTATCAGCTAAGAACATGGCTGACGTACGCGAGCTTACGCCCGAGTTCTATTTTCTTCCGGATTTTCTGACAAACGTGAATGGGTACAATTTCGGGCTGCGTTCCGACGGCTCCGCTATTGACGACGTGAAATTGCCTCCGTGGGCCAAGGGCGATCCTGCAATTTTCATCGCCAAGCAGCGCGAGGCTTTGGAGAGCCCCTACGTCAGCCAGAACCTGCACCACTGGATCGACTTGATCTTTGGATACAAACAGCGCGGTGAGGCTGCTATTGAGGCTGCGAACGTGTTCCACTACATGACCTATCAGGGTGCAATCGATCTGGACTCGATCACCGACGAGAAAGAACGAGCGCAAAAGATTAGTGTTATCAATAATTTTGGACAAACGCCTCCGCAAGTCTTCCAGAGACCACATCCCCAAAAGGACAATGTCACTCGGCCCACTCGGCTCGATACGTCTGCAGAGAGTCTGCATCGGGTGCCGGGCACACTTCTAGAAGCTCATGACCGCATCTCATCTCTCAACTATACCAGCAAGAGCGATAGGTTGCTGTGCTCAGCGCCATTCCGCCACAACATACCTCCCCACCACGATCGGTACATGGAGTGGGGCTTCACAGACGGTAGCGTTCGCTTTTATGATTCAAGCTCAAAGAAGCTGATTGGATTATTTGAACACTTACACTCGGGCCAATTGACAACGTCGCACTTTGTGGATGGCCGAACGCTGATCACAGCAGGAACGGATTGTACCCTCGCCATTTGGAATGTTAACAAAGGCGATCGAGGCCGTATTGAGCTTCAGAACGCCACTACGCTCTTCGGCCACAAGTCGCCTGTCATGACAATTGCTGCCAGTCGCGCTGTCTCTGCATTCTTGTCCGCTTCACTTGATGGGCGCGTGTTCCTCTGGGACCTTAACCGCAACGAATTCGTACGCGAGCTAGCCCTTGGTGCGCAGCAAAAGCGGAACCCGGTACCGGTGCAAGCGGCCAAGATCAATAGTGTGACGGGCAATATTGTCCTTGCCTGCGGAAACCGGTTGATTGTCTCGACACTCAATGGCACCATACTGCTCGACGAAGACATTTGCGATAGTGAAGATGATACAGACTACATTACAACGGTGGCAGTCTACGAAGGTGTTGGCAACGAGTGGTGTGAACGGGAACTCATCTTTACCGGACATCGAAGAGGAGTGGTGAAGGTATGCAGTTCCTCATCTCGCATCATACAACTACTAACGTGATTCAGATTTTCCACCTGGTTCCAACACCTCCAACCATGACAGTGTCCGCCAAGCCGGCCAAATGGTCTGCCAATCTTATCAATGTCCTGAACCATGGCGATCCTGTGATGATGGCGCAAGCAGCGCCCATAACGTGTATATTACCAATGCCTCACCATGTTTACACGGGCGACGAGGACGGCAGAGTGGTATGTAGTATATGCTCATTCTTTGCGCATGACATCAGTGCTAACATGTTGTTACAGTATGAATGGGATTGCGTGCACCGGCAACATTAAGATTTGTGGATCGATCAATGCCATGAGAGGGACTGGAAATCGAATGCAAGACGTAACTAGCATGTGGATTAGGACTTTCAAGCATTTGATGGCGTTCTCGCATGTCCTTGGCTTCGCCAAGCATGACGAACTGTAAAAAAAAATACTTTGGTAAATGTTAGTTTTTTTGAATGCCGATTTTGTTCCATGCATTTTCCGCTCAATGGTCCAATGAAAGAGTCAGGCATTAAATAATGGTTATGCAAGCCTTGCTCTCTGTATTGGAACCAATGACAAGGCAAGCCGGGATAAAGGAAGATTTTACGCCTTTGGGAATAGTGGCGAGTGGGGTATTAGTGCTTGGTAAGGCTGGTTGAACATGTCTAACAAGTGTCATTGAGTGTTTGAGACCGCCTTGTGAACCGGCACTCTGGATCTTGCGTTGGCATGCGTGGTCGTCCAATTGTGAGCAATTGGCGTGTGCTTGTTGTTGTTCTCTTGTATGACGCGCGTTGCTTCTCGACCAGGCTACGTGGCTGTGGCTGCTGTCATCCGTGTCTATTCGGCTCGTCGGTATGAATCAGGCCAGGCCGTGGTCATAGTGTTTATGCTCAGGAAGCCTTTGCTGCTTATATGGTCCCTGATGCCGGCTATTGCCTGGGGATGCGCTGTGCGTGTTGTGTGGAAAGTGTGCACATGTACATACATCTTGGCGACAATAGCTTGTAAGCAAACACTTGAGAGCGTGGTACATGTATGTAATCGGTCCATGTAGCCGGTGCTCGCCATGCTCAGACTAGATTGATCGAGTCACACAGCATGAAGCAAGATGGCAGTCAACGACGCAGAATGAAGATGTGTAGAGGTGGTGGAGATGCTGCATCGTGGAGTGGCCAGGCGTAGTGTCGATGGTTCGTTGGACTCCGGAACCCGTCCAAGAGCAGCGCGTGACAAACCGGTGAGGAGGTGGTGTATAGGAGAGCACCGGGCGTCTACCTTGTATCATGGTACATGTTGTAGCTATACTGACTAAGACCAAACAAGACGCACCTTGCCGCAAGTGGTTAGCAGGCGCGCCTGAGCATACCGCGTCTTGTCCCAACAGAGCATGACCTCACTGCCAAGCCGCGTGCTATGAGCCAATCCGCGGTTTTGCGCACGTCATATTTTGCCTTAAGTCTGGACCGTGTCCCGCTCATCGCCCTCTGCAACCACGCAGCCCAGAGGATGCGACAATCCGGGGCGACAATCCGAACTATACATGGACTCGCCGGAAACTCCCGCGCCGCCAGATAGTGCGACTAAGAAGCGCAGACGGCCGATCAACGGTATGTCCCATGGATCCTGCGAGCTTTCAGTGTTATCAAGCAGTGACTAACAGCACCTGGACAGCCTGTGCAACTTGCCGTGCGCGAAAGGTAGGTCTTTATTGTTTGCTTGCTTCAACGTCTCTTTCTTTTTCGCCTGTTCGCGTTGTGCATGGCGACGTGGGTGCGAGGCGCAAAAGTAACCACCATGTCGTCCGCGGCCACGATGCGGTGACCCGATGATTTGGGCCAGGGACACTCAGCAACGCAAAAAGACATGATAAATGACCCAAAGAGGCTGACATATTCACAGGTCAAGTGCGATGAGCGCCCAAATGGCTGTCTCAACTGCGAGAGGTTGCAGCTGGACTGTGTACAGAATGGCGGTGTCTCGGCCGCAGCAAGGAGATCGAACACAGCTTACGAGCCAGTAGTCGGAATCAAGCGGAAGCGGACGTTTAGGTCTTGCGTGCCTTGTAGAGACTCCAAGGTCAAATGCTCTGGCGAACGCCCGACGTGCACGAGATGCCAGCAACGCCGGACAACGTGTGTGTATGATGCAGAGCACAACGAGCCGGCCTGGGTGCAGAGCATCGGCACTCCTGCCTCAGTGCCGCGAATGAGCTCAATGATGGTATCTCCTCATGTCCCCCAGCCCTCTCCCACCAGCCTCAACATGTTCGGGTCGCTGTCGAGCGACGATCCTAGCGTAGCGGGGTGCCCGCCAGGGTTATTATGGTGAGTCGGGCAGCAACGTGTGAGGATACCCATACTGAAGAAGCACATAGGTTGTTCGCTAAGCAGCTGCCACCCAGAAACAAACTTCATGCCTTGCTAGATGCGTATTTTAACAATGTCCATCCTATCCGGGTCTTTGCCTTCGAACACAAGCCCTCGTTTATTCGAATGTTGGACGAAGGTCAACTGGTGGATACCTCGGACCAGGCACTCTTGCACATCATGTGTGCACTGGGCGCCCGATTCTACGCCCTCGACTATAATGAGTCGTACGCGCCCTTAACCAAAGACTTGGTACAGTCGGCTGGAACCCAATGGGCCAAGGCTGCCGAAGAGATGTTCTTTGCCGACTACAGCACCATATCGATTACTAAACTCAAGGTTTTAGTCCTTCTTCACGACCAAGAAGCAAGAAATGGCAACTATGCTGGATCGTTTCTTCTTACTGGTCTGGTTATACGTATGGCGCATGCTTTGCAATTGAACAATGAAGTGGCGCCAGACATACTTTGCAAAGAGCTTGGAGGAAGTCCCAACGAGGTATCTGTCAGAGAGTCACGGCGAAGGCTGATGTGGGCGTGCTACATGATCGATGTCTGGGCTGGTAGCGGCGTCGATCACCTCACTATACTCAATGAAAAGGATCTCAAGATCCAGCTTCCTTGCAACGAGCGACAGTTTTCACTACAGATACCGTGTGTTACTGAGCGGCTCGAAAAAGGTACACTGCTGGATCTTGTGCCCCAGGAGGACATCCCAGAGAAGCCAGCGGATAATCTTGGCATGGCAGCGTACTACGTACGCATTGTTAGCATATGGCGAAGAGTCCTGCGGTAAGTCACGCTATCAGTGTTGAAGTGTCCAGTGCTAATTCTGCCAGCTTTGTCAAGCACATGGACGAAGAGCAGCCCCCATGGCTCCCGGGCTCAGGATTTGCAAACTTGATTGGTGACATACAATCGTGGAAGCAGAGCCTGCCATCCTGGCTAGACTTTTCGGCGGATAACATCTACATTCGACGCGAATCGAACCAGCTAGGTGCTCTTCTTCTCATCCATTGCATGTATCACCATGTCATGTGCGACGTGCATCGAATTGCCCTCCCTGACCTTTTCAAAAATCAGGAGCCGTTTGTTTTTCCTTCGGACCGCCAGTCCTTTGTGAGCCACTTGCAAGACGTCTGCTTCGAGCATGCCCAGCGCATGTCGGTTTTGGTCTCACACATCCTCCAGCATGGTGTCAAGCACTTTGCAGACTCAATTTTGCCTTCCTTTGTCTACAACAGTAACCGGATCATGCTCTATTACATTGCTAGGATCTTGGACGTATCCAAAGCTGATACTGGAACCGTCATTGCACGTACCGTCGAGCTAGTACAGTACAACAACCGCGCGCTACGCGAGATGGCCCTCATCTACCCGCTCGCCGAGTCCTTGTGCATCACGTCGGAGCGCTGGCTAGAGACGGTGCGAGATAGTCTTGCCCGTGGCCATTCTGCCGACTACATTGCACCCCAAGACCCGTCTGAGAACGAAGCGCGCCGCATTGTCGGAGCCCCTCCCCCAATGGAAGGCACTCCCCGGCAGCGCAACACGACTGTCTCCCTGGTGCCGCCCGTAGAAGAGATACTGTCCGCCACGTCGCCCTCGACTCTCCGCACAGCAACAACCCGGTATCCCTTCCCAGCGCCGGCCTCTGACGAACTAGCATCTCCCGTGAAGTCAGGGCATTGCATGAATACCCACACAGACCACCAAATCGAAACCATGTATTCTTCCCCAAATGCGCCCACTGCCTTTGAGCAGCCCATGTTCAATCTCGACGATTTGCAGAATTTCTTCGGCTGGGAGGCGAGTGATGACGAGAATGCCCAGACAACTGGTTTCGAGGGCTTTGGTCCTTTGGGTTGGGCAAATAACTTTTCAATCATGTGAGATGTCGGGCGGGATCATGCTTTGGCTTTTTTTTCACGTAGAAGAAAGTGACGGCTTCTGGAGATTTGAGAGATGCGCCCCTGATGTAATTAGATACCATTGTCTTGGAGATATTGAGCCAGTAATGACAGTCATGAATGCAATTACTGGGAAAGCAAGAGATTTTAATGTTATGGTTGTACTTGGAGATTTATGAATTCTTGCATGCCAACGTCGTAAAAACCAGTGTAGTAGGCGCGGACGCTGTCCAGCTATGCATTCTTCGTATATCATTGCTTCGTAATCCTAACGTAACATACCGCATTCAAGATGATAAGTTTGGTCCTGGTTGTGATGAAACACAGTAGCAATCACATCCACCATTCGGGTTCGCCCATGCTGACTGAAACACATATTCAACCGAACGACTGCACTACACCAACATTAGCAATCCTTTGTAAATACAATTCCAGAATAGCTGATTAGAACTTACGAATTTACATACACCTGCTGCACAATACCAAGTATCACTTGCGTTGCAATTTCCGGGTGTCTATTGATAGCTTGCGTTAGTAGTTGTTATCGTAGTATTAACCAAACTACCATGTTTGTTTGTTTGTTTGAAAAAACCTACACCCCAGTCTGTGTCTGCTGAATAGCAGAATCTGTTCTCTACCTTACCAGCCACTAGGCCTGAGAGTAGAGGCACAAGAAACAGGCTTGAAAAGCGCATTGTGCCTTTTATGTGACTTGGCGTAAGTAAGTCAGTAGCAATCTCGATAACCCAAGTTAAGGGGGTGAAAAAAAAATTCAAAATTCAAAATCAGAGAGACACGCTTCGGTTTGTGAGAAAAAAAAGGTTTTTGAGGGAATTTAGTTGAACTGTTATCTGCGTTGTTTTTTTTTAGTCTGCTTTATGAAAAAGTAGAATCGGGCTTTATGCGGTTAACTAGCCCCACCACAAAGTGCGCGCGACCACAAAGTGCGCGCGCGCCTTACAACCACCTCAACCTCAACGCGTCGTATCCCCACCACCATGGCTAATATTGAGGCTGCGCTTGCAGCTATTAATGCCCTAGGACCTGATGAGCCTTTTTTGTATACAGATATTGCAAAAAAATATAGTGTTGTTCGATCTACGCTTACCCGAAGACACCAAGGCCTACACGCCTCACGCGCGATAGGTGGCCAAAAACGGCAGCTCCTCCACCCACAGCAGGAGCAGGCCCTAATCGCCTATATCAATCGACTAACAGATAGAGGCTTACCACCTACTTAGCCAATGATACGCAATTTTGCCTCACAGATCGCCAAGACTGAGGTTGGAGTACACTGGGCTAGTCGCTTCGTCCAGCGCTATCCTGATCAACTTACCTCAAGGTGGGCAAAAGGCCTTAATAACTGTCGCCACAAAGCAGATTCAAGAAGCAAATACAACCTCTACTTTAGCCTCCTACGCGAT